CTTTTTTCTTTTTTCTTTTTTCTTTTTTCTTTTTTCTTTTTTCTTTTTTCTTTTTTCTTTTTTCTTTTTTCTTTTTTCTTTTTTTTTTTTCTTTTTTTTTTTTTTTTCCCCTCCAGATTTGATGTGGCCAGTGTGATGTCCGTTACACTTAGCTGTGACCATCGTGTTGTAGACGGAGCAGTGGGAGCACAGTGGCTTGCTGAATTCAAGAATTTCCTTGAAAAGCCAGTAACCATGCTGCTATAATTTAACCATACAAGCAAAATATTCCTGGGTCACACTGTTTTGTTTTAAACAAGCTATTTAGACTTTAGTGTCAGACTTATTAAGAGTTCCTTTTTTATTTTAAATATGTATTATATTATCTGGTAATGTTATTACCAGTCTGTACAGAAAAAGTTTGCAGAAGTGCTTTTCAGAGCAATATTACAGCTATACTGTATTTTTATACAGTTAGTTATCTTGCAAACTCTTCCAAAACAGAGTTAAGCATCCCAGATTTAAAAATGATCCAGGCAGTATTGCATACTGCCATCTGCTTCTAAACTAGGGTGAACAGGGGGGTGCATACCAAACAATTTCATGACCTCAGTGTTCTCAGAAATTTGAATTATAAACATCTTTTCACAGGAGTTCAGATGAGATGGTAACTGAAACATACAAGTTAGTAGAAGGTGAATTCCCTTATTATCCTGTTCTCCTGCTGGGGTGGGCGGGTATGACAGATGCACTAAGGGACTGAAGTGCCTGGGAATAGTTTCTCAAAGGCCAAGTGCTAGCATTCCAAATCTCTCTTGGAATTTGGCACTGGTCTGGACCTTCTCAGCTACGTGATCCCTTTTGAGCACTTTAAAGTAAGGTGAAAGAGCACTGATACCTGTGGGGTCACAGCTCTCAGATACCACAGGGAATGTGCTGTCTTCTCATGGACTTTCACTTACGTGTGCTTTTTGTATGAAAACTCTTGAATTGCTATTCCTCTTGCTAAGTTAATATCAGACTATGATGCCATGGAAGTAACTGTTTTGCAGAATGTCCAAGGGAATCTGTGTGTTGGAACCCAATATAGGCAAATCACACATGCTAATAATCCCATCAGTGGATATTAATCATGTGGTGACTCGAAGGTTTGGAATTTTTTTTTCCAGGCATTCTAACATAGGAAGCTCTGAGTTAGTCACTGGTACTGCAGATCTTCCCTGAATTGTCTATGTTGTCCCAGCCTCAGTAAGCTGCAGAATGTGCTCTCCATGTATATATTGTATGTAAAATGCTTCAATAGTTCGTTGGACTTGTGTCCAGTTACCCCAGTCGCTGTACCCTGAAAGGGGTGCAGTGCTGAACACTCTTAAATTCCACTTTCCACATGGAAATGTTAATGTAAAAAGGATGACTGTGTAGTAACTGCAAAGTGACCAGGAGAATTAAATAGGGGGGCGAAGTTTAAACAAAAGAAAAAGTTAAAGCTGATCTGTTGTTGTGTATATTGCATTAAGTACTGTCTCCTGTAAAGTTCTGCAAAATTCACTAAAGATATTGAAAGAAAATACTGTGGAAATTAAATATTTTTGTGGGAACTATTTAATGTCTGGTCGCTGCAATACCTGGTTTTCATGCCTGGCTTAAGCAAAAAAGTGCATTAAGGTTTTGTTTTTTCTTTAATGATCTAAAATATCTGGGTTCCAGACTTGCTCTAGCGAACCTACGTTCTATTAAATGTTTGGAATTGACAACTACTAAAACACGTTCCAGTGCTTTTCTATTCAGTCATGTGTGGCTTACTGTACTGCTATAGCACAGAGCTGTCTAGCCTTTCAGTCTGATAGTGAAACTCACCCTATTAACCTTAAATTGTAATCACAAATGTTCCAAAATAATACATGCTTTATTACTGTCATGCAGCAGTGAACTTTAATCTTCCTGGCTTCCTTGCTGCAGTGTTCACCAGAACCTCAAATTCTGGCTACAGAGACCTTTCACTTCCTTCCTACAGTAAGAACACTAAATAGTTTATCCTCTGGAAATGCTCTCTGAATGACCGTCAGACTGGAACACTTGCAACTCAAAAAATCCTATCCAGTGTGTGTGCTTGGAGTGCTAATAGTGACTAGTGGTACTACTTGCCAGCTCAGCTCATGCAGTGATAGAGTTTCAGTTTGAACTTGCAACTATAACCGCTGAACAGGATTTCAGTGCCGCCTTTTAAGTTGCTTTGAAGCAAAGAAGGGGGAAAGCTAGGAGTTACTGCTCTTTTGTAAGCCTGTATTTTAAAGTTGCAGCTCAAAACCAGTTTGTCTGTTTCCATTTCTGATCCGATGAATATCGGTACAGAACCACGGTTGTAGTGCAAATGTGTCGTAGAAGCTGTAAGAATGACATACTACCAAATCGGTCATGAAACTAAGATCACTTAAACTTTTGTTTGTTCCTTTCCCAATTAATTCTAGTAATGCTTAGTAATCCTTGAAGTTGTTTTGTGTTGCTTTGTATTACTTTTTGTTCTGTGTATTAGTGTAAACTAATGCAGATAGTTTTCCTAGTTGAAGTGCTCCAAGACTGTTTTTGGTCGCTAGCTTCACACACTAAGCGGTCCTGAGCTTTGAATCTCTATATGCTGTTTTGAATAGTACAGAATAGGTCTGTTGTTTTATGGTCTCATTCAGAGATTACCAAACCGGTAAGAAGTGAGGTCAAGCGCGTTCAGTGACTGAAAAGACTACAAAGCCTATTCCAGTTAAGATTAGCTGGGATTGTTGTAAAGAGAACAGCAACAGTGTGCAGGGCAACTTGTGGAACTGCGTATGACACACCTCTGCTGGTTGTTCCAGCATTAAATACATGTGAGAACTGCTCTAACCATGTGAATCCAGTAATCACTTTATTTAGCAAAAAGACTTCAGAACTGTTACTGCTGTACCTTAAGGCAAAATGAATGATTTAGTAAAGCATGTATGCATTTATGATTCTTTACTACAGCTGTTAACATATTCAAGTATTCCTTGAATATTTATAATCTTTACTTATTTTTTTCCTAAGTTTAGTGGTGCTACTATTCCTCCAGACTTCCTTTCCTACATGCATCTTCTAAAGGCATTTGAGGTATTCACCCCTGAAGATTAGGAGGTCAATAAAAAAAAAAAAAAAACCCAAACCACAAACAAACTCATCACTATCTAAAAGTTAGGATTCTCATTCTGGGCTTTTCTCATTCTGGGCTTTTGTTTTGTTCTGTCATCTGAACATGAACTGGACAGAATGCAGTCTTTAAGGATCTGGCTTGGCAACTGGCATTGTGATAAACAATACTCGTTTTCCTTTGTGAAATACTGCTGTAGTTGTTTCTTCATCCACCACTTCTGGCAGATCTAGTTGTAATTTGTATTTTTCAGGGACTTCAATGATGATGTCATCCTAAACCAAGAAAATTAAAATACTTGATTAACTATTTGACAACAAATTAGCAGTGAGCTTTTCTAGGAATTGGATACTAGACAGAAAACACAAGATTATTCTTTCTGCTATCTTACCTTTGAAATTCTCAGATCGCACTCAGAAACAGAGCTAACCTTAGGCAATTCAATTTTGAGTTCAATTTTGAGTGGTTTCTTGTTTGCATCCTTCACTGTGATAATTTCATAGACTGGGGTACTTAGCTTCTCTGGCATTTCAGTACTGGTAATTTCTTCTATCAGATGCACTTTAGACTGTGTCACACTTTCTTCCTTCAGCAACACAGGAGCATTGCTGCAGTCCTCAGCCTCCATAGTGTGTAGCAGCTGATCAAGTGTCAGTTCTTTCAAGAAAAATAAGTTTTTCACACATATCACTCAGTTACTAAGAACAGTAATGTTATGACTCTTGACAAATATATGATGAAAGTTTTAACTGTAATTAGCAATTTTGTCAGCTGAAGACTGTTACTGGCAGTTTCTCCTTCGCCCATGACTTGGTTTTATTGCCAATGGGTTAAAAGTTGTTGTTTCCAGACTACTAGTTACAGCAGCAACACCTTTTGCTGAGGTTAAAGCAAAAGACGCTTAGCACCCCAAAGGATCAAACCCTAGCAGAGTTCCCCTGTCTAGTGGATATAGGAAAAAGGGAATTTGCTGTTCCAGTGTCACTACAGTTTCTCAACTGTAAAACACCAGACAGGTGTTTTAAAAAATTTAAAAATGCAGACAGGCCAGCAGGGTTAAACGGATGTCTGGTATGAATACTACTGCCTTATTCTGAATTCTTGGAGAGAAGCGTTCGGTTTATGCTTATGGCAAGAATTGGGGGTTAGAGAGGTGAGGCTTGAGCAAATTTGTTGGGGAATCTGATAGGTCCTCATAGAAAAGTGACAGCAGATCTGTACATACCCTTCTTTGTGCTCTGACTGAGATGTGGAGTTGGCATCTGCCTTCCTTTCAGACGTTGCTGCATCGTTTCCCGGCTTCCTTTCAATTTGAATGATTCAATGGTGTACAAGTAAGAAAGAATAAGGTTGCATCGTTCCTCAACAAATTTAAGTGTCAAAAGGATCAAGTGTTCCATGTTTTCTGGGCTTTCTTCTCCCCTCTGAAGAACATCTGGATTATATGCAATATCTATAATGCTGTAAAGGTCTATAAAAGTAAGTTATGTGTCAGAATTGTTGCTATGGAACCATGTGCTGGTGTTCTTTATAATCACTTGATTTAAAAGCAAAGGAAAGGAATTTGTGGCTTCTGGGCAGAGAGCTAATTCTATCAAACTTGTCTAGAGATGACACCTCTCCACGTGCTGACCCTGCGGTCCAAGTGTTCAAGGAGAAGCATGGGAACACAATCCACGTGAGTATATGCAGTCAACGAGACTCCTAGTGCCTGAGTACTTTTCAGGATTTTTATGCGTGCAATTTTTGCGTTTCTTCAGTTTTTTTCAAAAAGGACGGACTCATTTAGAATCCCTGTTGAGAGACGCCTGTCGCATCCTTGCCTCGCCGCCCCCACCCCGAGCAAAGAGCTGGCCACGGCACAGCACCACCCTCTGTCGCAGCGAGAATCTGCGTGTGATTGCCATGCAATGCACCACTGCAGGAAGAAATGCATGTGGGGAGAGGCGCGGCTCTTTCGGGACGTACCTCCTTCGCCAGATACTTCTTGAAGCGGCCCCGCACTGACAGGTATGGGGTCGGCGGGGGCCTTGGGCGCCGGGACCCTCTTCCAGCTGCAGACGTTGATGAACAGCGGCCTCCCGACAACGCCC